TTTTCCAGTGCAGTGCACATTTAGTTATAGGGCCAACAGAATAACAATAAAAGTAACAATAAAAAATGGATGGACGCCAGGTTAGTGTTGAACGTATCATGTGTCCAAACTGCACCAAATTCACACTGCTCTTCCTTTGGTCCTTAAAGATACACATGCCAAGTGTGAATCTGATGAGATATGAGAGCCACCGACAGACAGAGATACGTGGAATTATTTGATTGTTTGACGAAAACCAAAGTTACTGAATCCATTACGACTGGTGGTGATGATTCAGTCTAATGAGCTTCATTGCGATGACCTAAGAGCAACAGGGCGTCACAGATGAAAAGATGTACATAGTTATACTCTGCGTAAACAGACTTTGCCTCCAGATGTGTACAAACAAAAAGTTAAGATAAGAATGTGAAAATGTCACAATAGGAAAACAACACATTCAGATTCAGAGACTGCTTTGTGAATAATGCAGGAGTGTGTATGCACTGCATTGTAAATAATAAATGTCCTGGCAGTTCATTTCTCCAGCCACAGGCAGCGGAGAGGTTTGAGTTATGTCCCGGAGAGTGACTGTTCAGAAATTGTTAGATGGAATCAAGTGTTGATGAGTCGTTGTACTTTACATCTTCCATCACATGAGTCAGCTGATGGGATCGGTGCTGACTGGCTCTGCTGTCAGAAGCATAACGTGTTAACTTTCACTGCTGTTGACAGGTGGAACCACTTCCTGTCCTGAGACGTTTTATTCCTCACTCCCGACTCGATGGTGATGATGCAATATCTGCACAAAGTCTAAAGGAAATGTTGCAATGGTTGAATTGACAGCTGCAACTTGCCAAGGTGCAAGAATAAGCACTTTTGCTCAGAGGGGAAGTGAACTGTCATCTTCTCCTCGATGTCAAATCCAGTTTCTGGAATCAAATGTTCATTCTTCAGCTGTATTTTCAGATTTGGATTTTGACCAGTGACTGTTTATAAAGACGGACAATGCTTCCTCCTTCCGACGCCATCTTGTGCTGGTCATGTCAGCAGGTCAGCTGATACCTGACCTGTCGAGTCAGTCTCAGCCAGTGGTGGCAGGTTGCAGTATGGGTCATAAACTCAGCCTCCTCCATGTTAGTTGATGGTAAATGGCACAAGCAAAAAAATCTCCTGATCGCGACTGCACAGATATGATATTTTCATGTCTGGATGGGATACATTTTTATTCACTTAGACATTTAGATACAGATTATATAGTATACCACGATTCTATTATTGGTTAGTGTTAGGATGTAGGATGCCATCACATCCCTGCAAAACAACTGACAATAAAAGAAGTAAAGAGGTATTTAACAGTGTTGGACTTGTGTATAAAAGAGCAGAGGTCATTAAACTTTTGGTGCCTGTGGCTACATCACATAATTATGCATTTAAATCGATTGACCCTGTATGATGAGCTTGTTCCCAGCTGTGCCATGTTTCAAATGCAATCATACTTCTGCCATTAAAAGCGAATAACTTGCCAGCCCATCGCGTTCAAATTTAGATTAGCAAATGCATATAATTGGATTCTGTGTGCGCTGAGCATCATCTGTAACTGCATAATTTGGCCACGCTGCAAAGGGCTGAACTCAGCAGATGGATTGATGCTGGTTCTTGGCAACTTCTCACCGCCTGCGTGTGTGAGCAGCTGAACATGCCTCATTTACGAGTGCAGAGAGGAGCATGGCTTTTCTCTTTAGAGCAACTCCTCCTCTTCATCTTCGACACTAAATCCACTTTGCGGCGTGAAGAACATGCTCACTATTTAACAAAATCAAAAAAGTTTCATGGTTAAATTCAAGGGTGTTGCATCTGTGCGGGTGGGAAAATCAACCTTGATACATCTCGTTGCATTGACCTGGATTATTCACCATAAATGTTTATGATGATAATGATTTTAGACACCTTGGTGAAGAGATTTTTTTTTTAAGAAAAAGTATCGATCTCATGGGATTCTCTCTTGCATCACACTCTATACTGATTCATGTTTATCATCTTAAAACCTTTATATAGAGTCAATTTATTCTGTAAAATAAAAAAAAACAGCAACAGTAATTATTCCCGCAAACATGAATTGGTACATTCATCATTCAGACCATTCTAATGCAAGTATTTTTTCCTGTTAATCAGAAGAAATTAAATTAAAAATGTTGATTTGATAAAGTTTAGGTTGTGATCTTTTTTTAATTTGAAATCCTGCGCTTGTCCCATGTGACGATAAACAGAATATATTTATTCATAACGTTGCTCTGTGGGTTTTAAACTCTGCAGAATTCAGTGCTGATATGAATATCTCATCTCCTTTGTCTGTTGATGTTGTGGAAACTGCTTTTAAAATAAATTGATGAGTTATTCATGTCAGAGATTTTAGTGTCCGTGCAAACCTCTATCCTCGCTCCGTCAGGGATTCAGTTCATAACGAGGCTCCTTCTAAGCTTTAACTTAACAGGACCTGACATTTCCAACTCTCAGATTCTCCATTAAAAGCCTCTGTGCTTCTTTGTGCTTCAGAGTGAGCGTCTGTGAAGACTGTGCAACAAAGAGAACTACTCATGGTTCCCTCTCTGTGTTTGGTTCTGCATTAAACTGTAGGTCACACAGCAGTGGGGGTTCCACTAAAGATCTATCTTTCTGTAGGAGTCACTTCACGTCCCGGGGCGTCATTCTTTTCTACTCCCCCATATTGTTCCATAAAGGTCACTCCCTGTTTGAATGTGAATATCTTCAGTGGGACGTGGAAAGAGAAAAATAAAATGGCTTTTTCTTATCTGCCATTAGAGAGCTCGGTGAATGAGTCTGTCCTCTGGCTCATCCCTCTTTTCTCCGGCAAGTGAAGCTCCGATAGTCTCTTGATGTCTGTCAGCGATGGCATCGTTAGGAGACGGCAAGGTTGCACGAAGGTCGTGGAATCACAGCTGGGCTGCTGACCTGTGGGAGAAGTGACACGGGAGCAATATTTAACTTTTAACCAACGGGGCAGATGTGGCAGGATTGCCCCAGGTTTGCATCTCGTTCTTTGCCCAGAGGGAAAATCTTGTCTCTTCTGAAACCCAACACTGAACATCTGTTTCATGTTGTTGTACATGACAGGTGATATGAATTATACACACAAGGATGTTGTGATACTGATCTAAAACGTGTGCTGCAGCTCGTCAGCATCCGAGAAGCTTTGAATATTGTGGGTGTGAAACATCTTCATCTGATGGGTAAATCCTCAGTGAGGTGTCTTTTTGTCTTTCTTCTTCACTGCACAGTTGTATCAGTAACTGCTGTTTTTCAAATTGAAGAATAATTCATATGTTGTACATATGAATTTTCCCACTTTTATTCTGCAAAAAAAAAACAGAGCAGCTTTTACATATCCTGCCAAAAATAAACCATAACTTCTGTGTGCTGCACTTAATTTAATTACATAAACACACTTGAGTTACACAGCCGACATATGGTGTAAACATTTCTCCTGCTCTGAATTTACCTTGTTATAGTTTTTTTATTTTTTTTTATTTTTTATGTATTCTGCCTCCTCTGATTAACAACACATCAAATAAAATGTATAACTCTGACCTGCAGCTTTTAACTGGCTCTGGTGATGAATCTTTATGGAGGCTGACTGCTGTGAGTTCATTAGCTCACTCTGAGGTGAAGAGATAATAAATGGTATTGATTGTAAGTGGGATTTATGTCATTCTCGACTCAGTGGGTTTGAAGTCTTGTAGAAAAGCACCCTGTGATTTTCTGAAATAAATGAAATATATGTCACACATCTGCTCTGCTGGTGTTTGCGAACATGTAAAAATGTCAAAACTCTGCCTCCATCAATCAAGACATGACACCAAACCACATTATTCCATTTTGTATTAATTAGATGTAAGGCATGTGGCCTCATTAGGGGGTTTTATTGCAGTCTTTCTGTACATATCTGATAATAGAATTCTAAACACTCTGACTCTGCTTTGTGAGAACTTTATCAGAACCATGTAATGAGTTTATCCACCCAGGTACAGTCTGCTGCAGGTTTATTCACTTTGGCCCGTGACTTTTCATCCCAGCAGCGTTGCAAGATTCAACTTGATGTCACAGTTTAGATTCATTTAATCTGTATCAAAGTTTGGAGGAGACTTTATTCTGTGGTTCAGTCCAGACCGAAAGAACCAACAAGGTCATGGACGAAATAACTATTTTTGTGTCACGGGATTGCTCAGTTATGGCGACACGCTCCAGACTATCCTCAAAACTGGAATCAGGCCAATAGAGTGATTAAAATTTGAGTTTTAGGGTCAGTCGCTTCCATGTTTATAGTCTGTCTGTGCTGAGATCCTGTGAACATTAAAACCTAAGCCAGTGTAACAATGTGTTAAAACAAAGGATTTCCTTATGACGACAATGGACATTTCTTTCATCCAAATTGTTCGCTTGTCATTTGAGATGTTGGACATTTTTGCCGAAAGTGATAATAAAGATGATCAGTTCATCATCAGGGTTGTTCAGCAAACAGCATTTTGCCAATAGCCTGATACAATGAGTTGTAATTATAAGAGATTCTGGGTGATTTTTTAAAAAGAAATGTTGCTCTCCAGTGTTATGTGAAGTAAAGTTTACAGGAGGAGCATGTGATCAATGACCAGAAAGGTCTCCCTGAAAGTTTCTCCGAACTTCAGAAACAAAAACTTTCCCCCATCTGGTCTTTGCCCTCAACGAGACCTTCAAATCCCCTTGGTGTAAGCCTTGGCACGTGTGTGTGTGTCTGTGTGTGTGTGTGGATAGAATTGTGTAACGGTTCAAACCGAACAACAAATCAAACACAGGTCAAAACTTCAGTGCGTTGAATTAAATCAATGCATCAATGAGAGCTGTGGTGATGTGCATGGTGAAGAAATTCTGGATTATATGAGATGAGTTATATCCTGCAAAATTAAAAATCAGACTGAGCACAAGTTCACATATCCTGTCTCACCTCAGCCCTCTCCCTCTCCCTGCAGTTCGACATGCAGCAGATCACCCTGGAGGAGCTGAAACACATCCTGTTCTACGCCTTCCGCGACCACCTGACCATGAAGGACATTGAGAACATCATCATTAATGAGGAGGAGAGTCTGAAGGAAAACTCTGGGAACTGTCAGACAGAGTTTGAGGGAGGTGAGCCAACTACGTGTGTGAGTGTGAGTGTGAGTGTGTCTGTGTGTGTGTGTGTGTGTGTGTGTGTGTGTGTGTGTGTGTGTGTGTGTGTGTAGTGAAGAGAGATAGTAGCTCATTCTGTCAGGGAGAATTTGAGCTTCCTCATCACAACCTATAACCAGCAGAGTCACAACACACCTGCTGATTTATTGAAACAGGGTATTTGTAGGAACGGTCACCTGCTCTGAAGTGGAGCTGATGAAATAAACATGAGCCACTCTGCAGAAGTGGACATCCATTGATATCAGAGCAGCAGTGTGTTCTAGTGCTGAAGTACTCTACAGTACATTACCAGTGTCGCCTCCTTCAGAGCATGCAGTCTGAATGAGACAGTCTGGTAATCAGAGGAAACACAATTACTTTCAGTTTGTCCCACTCTTACCATAGCATTATTAGCTTTTAGCTGTTACACCCCCCCCCCCCAATTGCATTTCAATCTGGTCGTGACACGATTGGTTTAAAATGCAGCCTCTGATGAATGCAGCCCCTGAATTGAGACAGTTGCAGCACTTGAGAAAGCTCTAGAGCATTAAAGACAGCAAGTGTGACTAAGGAAATATGCAAATAGAGACACAGCATTGAGATGTTTCACTTCGTCAGCAGTAAAACAGGAAATGTAAAATGTGTCAAACAAGTTCTATATAAGTATTTTTAACCTCGATACCTCAGCTCCGCAACACAATCACCGCTGCACAGAATCCACGTGACAACAAAGTCATAAGATTGTACAACAGGGGGAAGTAGAGATGCAACATCCATCTTTATTTCTACAGTAATTATCAAAACAAGGTTACATAGTTCTTTACAAAATACATGCGAATAAAGCACAGAACACAACACAATGGCTGGTAAGTCTATGGCTTATATGTCTATGATTCAGAAGCATAAACACAAAATAAATGTTAAGTTGTTCTATGTGAAATCTGCAAAAAAATGCAACTTCCCCTCTGTCGTCCACTTTGTCCTGACACCATTCAGATGAATTTGGTGTGTAGGCAAATGTTGAGTCATAATGTCGCCAGTTCCTACGTCTCCTGAAGGCAGCACGGCCAAGCAGGGTCCCAACCTACTTTGTTATTCGGTGAGAGGGTCTTCACCACAAGTGTCTGCAACATGGATTATATTGAATTTGTGGAATTCAGTTGCATTGAGATTACAAACATTACAGACCTGTGAATGTGTCCAGGAGGGAATTTACTGGTGTCATTGTGGATCGACATGTTGCACCGGCACTTTATCAGCGGAACATCAAGTAACGACCTTAAAAATCAGGTTCCTGTTGAGTATATGATGAAGAGTGACCATCGCAGCGTCATACACAATCACATCTGTTTCCCCATGAGGTCCATGAGCACCACCTGCCACAGAGGGGACACCAAACTGTGCTCAGTCACGGAGAAATCAATACACAGTGTCACATTGCGATTCATACCGAGCACAATTCATCATGCTTCCCTGCTGCTTGTTGCTCCAGCTCTCTGATATATGAGGGAGCATAAGAGTAACTTGATTTCCCTCTGGCTCCACCTTCGCTCAGGAATCAATACGTGTGAAGCTGAAAAAAACAACATGATAAACAATGTAAGCACTGAATCATCGCTGAACAAATTGTAGGAGAGCGTAAAGTGCAGGGAGACAGCAAGATGCAAGGAATAATCCCTGCTGTCACACGGGTCCGTTACATTTATGATAAAATCAGTCAACATGAACCTTTGACAGACACGACCCTGTCAGCGTTTATGTCATTGATATATACCATATCAAAACTTTTACTCCACAGAATAAACACTGCAGAAAATGTGTTTACATTTTCTTGATTCAAGTTCTATTTATTAGTTTGTATTTTCTTTCTGTTTTTCTCTCTTTTGATTAAATAATAGAATTTCAAGCCTTAGTTACATTTCTTTGTCATAAAGTTTTAATAACTGACTGATAAATTAGTACCAAAAACTAATATTGGGTTCTAGATGGGCCCCCATTTTAGCAATAAGTTATATTTATGAACTTTTTCATGGATGACAGTATGATTTTTTCTATCGCTGTTATTAGTATTGCAGTACTTATATTAATACTTATAACATTTTGTATTATATTTTGTATTTTATTTGGCCGTGGGTTTAATACAAGCCATTGTAAACTATTATAAACTGTTTCTAACATTTCATTTATGTTTTTTGTATTGCAAATACACAGAACAAAACGTGATGCATTTTTCGTTTAAAGAGGATTGCAATGAACTGCATACATAACTGGACTAGATACATTTATCCTTTATATCACATTGTGGTTGCGGCTCAAGAGGTTAGAGAAGAGAAGCAAAGTCCTGTTAGTCGCTAGAAAAAATGCACCTTAAAATAGAAATGATTGACAGTGGGCACCTGATCCTGGAGACATCACAAGAAAGTATAAATAGTCTTTATAAAATAAACCATTGGGTAAAGTGTGATTGTTAGCACAGGTGTCCCAGCTGAATATCCACAAAGATCAATTCATCCAAAGCACATGTGAATGTCGACAGTCGTAAGTCAGAGCCTGGAAACCGATGCACACTTCATTAGCTTTATGAGCTCAGCGCTCCACTGAGAATCCTTCAGCTGTTCGGCAGCGGTGCGGCGACTTCAGGCAGCTGAGGAGGTGTTTTGTGAGGCAAGTTCAGGCAACTGGATCGAGAACTAATGTCTCCACCACAAGTCTCCTCCCGTCGCTGCAGTTCAGCCAACAGCTGAACACGTGGTGTTTCCATCGGAACACAAGTAACTCAATTCAAATCAATTCATTTCAATTTTATTTGTATAGCAACAAATACTAATAAACATTATTTCAATGCTCTTTACATTGAACGCCAAGACCTTAAAATCTTATTTGATATAGAGAAACCCAACAGTTCCCGCAATGAGCAAGCACTTTGGAGAGAGAAAACTCCCTCGTTAACAGGAAGAAACCTTGAGTAGAACCAGGCTCAATGTGGGCGGTCATCTGCCTCGACCGGTTGGGATGAGCAGAGAAGAACGGGGAGGAAAGGGTAGATGGGTGGAAAAGAGGGGAGAAAAGAGAGAGAGATAGTGGGGAGGGGGTGGACAGAGAGGTGAAAGAGAGACTGGGAACACACACTGGGCAACAGGTATCAGCACTGATTAGTTATAATGAAAACAAGATGATAGCAACAACAATTCATATAATAATGAAGTACTTAATTACTACGTATTGTTGTTAATAATAATAATAATAATGATGATAAGTCAGATAATAATAACTCCTTCAGTTCTGGAGTCAGAGATGCCTGCAATGAGAGAGAGAGGAAGAGAGAGACTATGGGAGGAAAAAGACACATAGTTATTGACATGTATTAAAATAAATAAATGAATGTGGGGGGGCAGAGAGAAGGGGAGAAGTGCTCAGTGCATGATGGGAGTTCCCCCAGCAGTCTAGACCTATAGCAGCATAACTAAGGGATGGTTCAGGACTCACCTGATCCACAACTATAGGCGTTTATCAGGTTGTGGAGGTAGCTGGCTAAGTAGAGCACTCAAGACTTCCCTCTCCCCTGTCACTTTCCAGCTCAACCTGGATGATACCAAGATGTTCCCTGGCCTGATGGGATATTCAGTCCCTCCAGTGAGTTCTTGGTCTCCTCCCAGTTTGGGATGCTTCATTAAACCTGGAAGGCACCCGAAACAAAAGGCATCATGATTAGACGCCTGAACTGTCCCTGTTCCATGTGAATGAGCAGCGATGATTCTACTCCGAGCCCCTAGATGTCCGAACTCCTCACCCTATCGCCATGGGGGACTTCGCCTAAATGTCAGGGAATAGGAGTTTCGTGTTGTGGTGTTACAGCAGCAATGGCCTAAAATGGACAAAAACAAATGTGTATAGAGTTATCTCCATTGCTCTGCCACAAATGGCTGACAGATGCAGCTATGGTTCTACGAGGGAGGTTCAAGGTGTCGATGTGAGAGCGAGCAATGCTTTCCTGGTTAAAAAGTCTCAATGTGCAACATTCATCCAACGTTCAGTGGCATAACCTTGGAAACTGGCTGAACGTCCAATTTTAGATCATCTATTTGGCCAAAAATCATGTCGGGTTTTATATGAGTCTAGAATAGTATTTTTTCAAAAGGAGCCAACTAATAACAACCTCAGCCAAAAAAACATGGAGCGATTGCTGTCCTACTTTGCATTTGCTTTGGAGCAGCATTTTTCGATGACTTCAGTGCTTCTCAAATTAAGAGTTAAAAATAGAGTGAGTGAGTGGAGTCATGTGGCTGTGGGTCATTGGCCCAGCTCCCCTAATTACAGCGGCCCGGTGGAATCATTGGAGGCACTCGCAGCCTGCTGCTGAGTTACCGGTCGGCGCCGCACGATGATTGAACCAGAAAATGATCACAGTCTGCTGTAATGTGATTGTAAGTGTCAGCTTGGATTTGTGCATAATGGCCTCCAGCTAAACGTGTCTGTATTCATTTGTACTCTCATATCTTTGGTCTTTAAAGTTTGCTGTCCAGTAGCTGACGGTCCATTGACTGTAAATAAAGATGGACGACATGTCTCCACTTCCTCTAATTGTTTAAATAAGAAACAAAAATTAAACTGAACTAAATTCTTGTGCTATTGACGTCATCTGGAGCTGCAGTCTACACAGAAGTGATCGTGGAGTGGAGCCACGGTATCGAGGTCCCACCGATACATGCATTCAACCAATTGCGAGTCAATCTCAGCTGTCAATCATGGCATCTCAGCCTGTTATTATATCTTCAAATAACAAATTACACCCAAACCTATCAGAAACATGAACAAATATCAGTGTGGTATAGTTAAAATGACAGAAACCATCTTTGACTTTGCAGTTTGGTACATGGTTAATGACCCATACTGCAGCCAGCCTCCAGGGGGCCATTGAGACTATTTGGCCCTCATGTCATCCATCTTTGTCTACTCTCTATGGGTCCTCCTCGCTGCTTCAACAGCACTTTAATCCAATGACACTTGGTGAGTGTGTTCTGTTATCATGGCAAATGAGCAGTAACAACAAGCTCCACCAATCAGAGGTTGAGGATTGTGGATCGCATCATACTTCCCCTTGACTTTGCATGTAAACACATTTTTCTAAAATCACAGTTGGCATCAAGGAACATATAATATCGATTCACAGTTCTGATTCTTTGGTTTCCCGCTGTTCATTCAGCTGGGATCCAGAGGGGCTGTTAATTCTGCCCGGCAACACTGATGTGAGATCACACGTCCTGCAGTTATGATCCTGTGGTCTTAAACACAGCGGAGAATTTCTACCGAAGAGACGTTTCAGTGAAAGTCGAAGGTTTTTTGTCACATTTAAAGATTTTGATCAACCATTGAGATTTTGAAACTTGCATTTTTAAGCATCTCAGTGACGTAAACTCTCCACATGATAAATAAGGTATTTTAAACCTGCTGTTTATCTTCATTATGTGTTCTTCTCTGGGTTATAAAAATGAGCCTTTCATCTTCATCTTTTTATTATTTCTCTATCAGTTCACCCCTCGAAGAAGAACCGCCAGACGTGTGTAAGGAAGAGCCTCATCTGCGCCTTCGCCATGGCGTTCATCATCAGCGTCATGCTCATCGCAGCCAATCAGATGCTGAGGAACGGCATGGAGTAGCCGTGCCCACTGTGAGCGGGGGTGACGAGCCAGCCTGCATGTGCATGCCAGTGGGTGAGGTCATATCCCTGCAGACAGGAACAGAACCACATGGAGTGACACTCGCAAAAGAACCTTCGACAAAATCCATTTTCAAAATGTACTTGTTTTTTTTCCACGTCCAATGAAACTGTGAAGCCAGCATGAGGAGTCATGCCGGACTCCTCCCACTTTACTCTGACAGGGACACTCAAGGGCTGACATCACACATAACGTCCTCTCTGTTTCCCCGATGCAATAAAAAAATGTATAAAAAGACATCGAGTGCAGAAGTTCAGAGCTGCTTTTGTTCTCCAGCCAGATGTGATGTGTGCAGATGTGTCACCCACCAGGAGTCTGATGAGCGACCAGTGCTGAAAGCAGAGAGCGGGGGACGGAAGAGTTGCCCTCTCATTACAGTTCCTGCAAAGAAGATGGCGGAAGGATGTGTACGCATCAGGCCGCCGCTCCTGCTGCTCCTGCGGTGCTACGATACTTCAGCGCTCCAACTTTCTATTTTCAACTCCTGCATCTGGGGGCTGGTATGAGGTGCTGGCGTCAGTTCATCCGCCCGACAAAACCAAAGCAGTCAAAGAGTGAAATGTTAAAAAGGCAAATCCCGGCTGGTGTTTTGGCCTCGTTGCGTCTGTGAATGGATGGAGCGGCTCTTCTCTCTCATGGAAACTGTTAGGTTTGAAGACTTTGGGGTGTAAAGAAGAGATGTCTGTCTTTATTATTAAAGGGAAAGAGAATCCACCCTGTGATGCTCTCACTGACCACGTTCACATGGACACCAATATTCAGACTATTGACTTTATTCTGAATTAAACATTCGTTACGTCCACAGTTAAGTCAGATTGTTGGAGTCCATGGAAACGCAGTCACTGATATAATCTGTCTGTGTTGCTCAGTACACACAAGAATTTGAATTCAACTTTTTCAGTCCACCCTCTTTCTCTCAGTCTGTGTCATCTTCTTTTCCCTCACATGGTGATTTCCTGGATTTCCCAAAATGTCTCTGGACAACTTGCAGAGATCAGCAAAAGAGCAAAGAGCTTTTCCAGTTGACAAATTCAGCTCTGAGTTTTACCGTTTGTCCATGAGAAAAGGAAAAATGTTATTTCGCCATCAGCACCAGAGGATTTTTTAACAGTGAAGATGTTTCAGGGTGGATTTTTTTTGTCTGCATGAATCAAATTAATGAAATATATCTTAGTCTTGTGATACATTTTGATCCCCTTCAGATTCCTGCACTCAAAACTAGAGCTCATACTTTGCCAAGGCCAAGGCCATTCAATCAAGCTGCAGCATATTTCAAACACTCACAGATACCAGTCCTCCAAATGCTTGATTTCTTCTGGTGAAAGCACCAAGTTTAGTAGATATCTGTCGAGTTGTTTTTGTGTAATCTTGCTAACAAACACACAAACTGACAGTGGGGTGCAACATAATCTCTTTGGTGGAGGTAATAAGCTTAATATTTGATTTCTGTGCATCATTTGTTTCCCTTTACTTTAGATTTTTATCATTTTAAAATCATTGTGCAGATTAAAGCCGCCTAATCACACAATCCCTTATCGGCTTGTATTGATTAATAATCAATTCATCAGTTGTTTTTTCAACAAATATGTATTTTCTTATAATTTTAGTCACTTTTTAAAGCAAAAAAAAAAGATTTATGAGATTACAGATCAAATCTGCAGCCTGAATAAGATCAGAGCAACATAGGATATAAAATATTGACCAGATGTAACTTTAGCTCTCACTATATTTATTTTATCTGAAGTTTGGAAGCTTCCTCCCTGTTCTGTGATACAAATCACTGTGCACACCACAGATAAAGATGTATCACATATTTGAAATAGTTTTGCAGCAGATTCTTGTTTTAGAGGTGAAACTTTCTCACAGCACTGAATCATTAGCAGAAACTGATGTCTGCTCTGAACTCCTGCACTGACTCTCATCTCAACATGTCAACCCGGCCGGGGGGGAGGTCGCAGAACACCCATATTATCGAGTGCATGCAAACAAGTCGTTGTCTTCTGTAAATACCGTAGCCCGTAGTCTGAAGTGTCTCACGTGTCTGTTGAAGGTGATGTACGGTGTCTCTGTATGTGCATGACTGTTGGTGCTCTCTGCTCACTCGGGTTTAGAGGCGCAGGGAGGGAGGTCGGCGGACGAGGAGGGGGCCGCTCCATCACGAAGGCCCCTTTCTGCTTCCTCTCAACCCTCTTGCCAAAGCCATAGAACTCCACAGAGGTGAAACCAGACAATACAACACGGACGCTTTTCCTTGGTCCCACACGGAAACACAAGATCAAACGGGCATTGTTTTTGGCAGATTTCTCTGTCATGTAGGATTTGGTTTGTTCCTGTTGTTGTATTTTTTTTTTTTTGCACTGTACCTGTCATGCGTTCCCGTGACATCACACAGTTGTAGGTCTGTGCAAGAGTGCCATCTAGAGGTGAGATGAGATCACATCGTTCATGTTCCATCACTGTGTATGTGTGTCCACTCTCTAAGCACTATGGGAATGTGACATCAGGCAGAACTCTCAGATATTAAATGTTAAAACATGATGGTTTTTATGTGTAATGTAAAGCTGGACTCTGGTCTGCCAACACTGGGTAGAGCAGCACTTGAATGTTAACACATAATTAAATACACGTCTATTTGTAGGAATAGATTTTCGTCCTCAGATGATTTATTGATAGTACAATTTGAAATCCTGTAGGTCACACTGGTGTTATTCTTTTTTACCTGAAGTCACACTGAGTATAATTTGTTTTAAAGTGTTGGTGGAAATTTCCACATTCACACGTGCACTCGTAGCTGCTGTCGTGTTAAAACTGGAAAAGTGTTTCATTTATTTGTTCTCTGAGAAGAACTTTGTTTTTCCATCTTTACTTTCATTTCAGTGGCTGCACGTCTCCATCGTTGAAGTAGACTTTTAATTTGAAGGGGAAATCGAGCCCCATGTTATTTTTTTGTCATATAACTTTGTACAAAGCTAATAATCTATTAGACAAGCACATACTACACATACTTTGCATGTGCAATATTTAAAAAAGTAGACTAGAGAGAGACTTTTAGTTGTACTATTTATTAGAGGCATAATAATTATGAACCTGTAAATATGAAACTCTGTACAAAACTCAAAGAAATAAGCATTGATGCAATAAAACTGTGTTGTTTTTTGTATGTGTTTCAGTTTTATTTTACACTGGGACCAGTTGCAGGACAGTCTTTGAAATGTAAAGTTACCAATAATGCACAAATAATCCTCATTAATGTAAGATAAAGTTATTGATTACAACTTGTTGTATTCTAAAAAATTTAAATGAGCCATCCACAAGTTCAGCGATGAAGATGGTCCTGAATATTGATGTGAAAATAAACATTTTTAAAACCAATTTTATTCCTGTAATACAGCCAGGGCATCAAGGTAAATTGTGCAGATATGCAGTATGTGTGTGACTGGGTGACATGATGGAGCCATTACTATGAAAGCACATTCTTCTGCAGATGTATTATCAGTGTCAAATATGCTCAAGTCATATTTGTGAATGCACCTCGTAATACCCCCTTACTCCCAGGAACTATGGCTACATGTCATTAGGGATGTAAAGACTGGGACCATGTACCTTTTCAAATGTCAACAGTGAGGGACAGGTTTCACCACAACATTAGTAGTTATTAAATATCATATGTTTTTGCAATTTTACAGAATAAATATGACATAGTTTTAGACGAAACTAATCATCATCCTTGAGAGTTAGACATTTAGTTCCTCTGAACAAGATGAAACTTCCCATGATAGACCGATCGTCAAGGCTAGCAAACTGAATCACGTTAACCAGCCCTGAAGCTAACACGTTCAAGTTGTGTCAGAGGATGAGCAGTTGGTTGGCTTTGGCTCTCAAAGCCAAGAGCGCCTGGCCAGAGGTTTGGGAGAGTAGGGCTGATGGCCATGACGCCTTCATCACGAAGACCAAGTGCATTTCAGGGACTGAGTAGGTAGGTTTTTTTTTTTTCAGTATGCACGAAATGTAGCTGTATTCATTTACAAATATCAAAATACAATGCAGTCATGTAGCATGATTATTATAACCAAAACAAAATGTAGAAATACATTTTTACAATGCTCTTATCTCTTTCTGTCTTGGTCACAGTGGTGGATGATGAGGAGGAGCTGGAGAAAGCAATGCAAAGCATATCACCCACCAGAGAAATGGGGGAGTATTGTAAGTACATTTTTGTAACTAACTTAACATTCTAGATAGCTTTTGGCTCAAGGTTTGTTATTAATTGAAAATCTTTTATCTACTGTTTTTTTTGCATGACATCAGATTTAAATTTGAAATTCCACACACTCATAAATATCCCTCCTATAAACAAATCAGATTTTAGTTTCAGCTCCATTAATTATTCCCTGAGAAATAAATGAAAATATTGAAAAATCACTTGTCCCCCCCTCCCCCAGTGATGTCATGATGACATCACAAAGGGGGTGAAACCCAGGCAGTGCTGTGTGGCACCTTTTCAAACCCTGTCCAACATGGTGCCTCTGATCAGAGCGAGTTTGAACAAATGAGCAATTAAACAATGTTTTAACCCACAATGCAATAACAGTTCTCTCTCTTGGTCGCGTGTTTTGCTTTAATATAATCATGACTGTATGTGAACATGTATGGATGTATGTGAACTGTGACATATTGACAACACAAACAAACATGGGACAGTAGTGATGCAATGAAACAAAAGATAAATGATAGTAAAATGTGGAGAAACTAATGATATTCATATGAAAAGGTTTGGAGAGATATTTAAAGTTACATTTCACATTAACTGTAAAAGTGAAATAAAGTCATACAGGCTTTTGCAAACCAACATAGAGGACAGGTCAACTGTGGAGCAGATGTTTGGGGATAAATACTCTGGAGTGTAAGAGCATTTTGATGAAATGATGAAACTGTCACACTCGGGTTTAGGTTTCAAACTGTTTTACTCCTAAAGTTTGAAGTTTTAGAACATTTCTGGAATGTAATCCATGCAGATACATTTCCTGTTGTGGAAAATTGTTTAACAAAAAGATTGAGTAGACAGAGAGAGGGAGAGATTATGAATGCTGATGCTGCAGGTCAAAGACAAACTGAACAAACCGGCGCCCTGAGGTTTCAGGTTCAAAGTGAGTCAACGTCCTCGAACAAATACTGAGTTCTGTTATCTGTGAAGAATCATGAATAACCAGTATAAACATTATGACCACCAGGGGCCAGCATTAGGCTCTGATAATAAAACTATAAACAACACATGTAAACAAACAAAAGGTAAATTATAGCTGCTCTAGGCAACAATGGGTCAATTCAGAATGAGTTTGAATGGACTATATTCCCTCTTTGTTTGCTGTTACCTCATTGCTTCACTGTTTCAAACCAGATTTTTTGCAGAAATTGATCATGTGGACAGAAATGAACTGAATATTTTCTGTCATATATCAATTATGTTACAGTTTCTACACAGGTAATTGCAGCTGTTCATCAGGAGACTGAGAGAAGATGATGAGTGACTCAGATCTGCAGTCAGGTAAACAAAGATACAAGACACTGCTTGGTACGACTCAACCTATAACTTTATTTTACTATTATACTTCTTTATTTTAAAGGATTATACTCATAAATAACCAAACGTTAGAGTTCACCTCCAAAATGAGATTAAGAAGGTATTAACTCGACTAAGAAGGATTTATTTTCATCTGTGTTTTATAGTATAATTTTACATTTTCATTGTTTTATATTCATACTGATATCTTTGAGTGTGTTTACTTTGGTGCAGCTTAATTGAATGTACTGGGACTGTTGCTCCTTGCTTTATTTTGCAGGATTTCACTCATATATATTTAACCAAACTAAAAATTTCACCTCCACAAATAAGTATGTAAATTAAAAAGCATTTCCAATTGTTGTATTTAATTTTTAGTTAGAATTGTGTCATTATGTAAATGTAAACATCATTTTTCACATGTCAAGTTGGTAAAGGTATACAAGTCATCTGTTTAAACTATATTTATTGTTATTTAAAAAGAGTGTTGGCTGATATTTTTCAGGATTTTAACCCACACAATGTATATTATCATTATTATTATTATTATTATTATAATTATGTTGGGCAGTGATGATCAGACCTGAGATGCAGCAGTGTTAACATGCAGACTCTGTCCTCCAGAGCCTCTCCAGCAGCTCTCTGCTGAAAACAGGCCCTTGTGCTCAGCAGGCTCCTCCTGTTTCATTTACATCTCAAGCATTTAGCTGATGCCTCCACCCGAGCAGCTTAGCCACAGGAAACAGCGGGAGTTCAAGGACACGTTCCACAGCACGCTCAGCTGCTGCAGAACTCCATCCATAACTTATATTAATCCACCTTAGTTTTAATGGCAGGCTGCCACAGGCTGTGTGATATACTTGGTTTATATTAAAGGATAAGTTCAACTATTTATAAGCCAGGTCGCATAATAACAGCAAACATGCTGGGCAACTGAGTCTGGAGCTCCAAGTCAAGGAAACACACATGAAACACTTTCACATTTGGGTTTATCAGCAGGAAATATGAGGAATATATAAAAATGTATTTAATATTATCTATGAAATCTAAAATAACAGCTGCACTTGAGGCCAAGCAACTAAAAATTAAAATGTCATGAACATTATTTCTCCACCGTTGTTGAAAGGTTTTCTTTTCCTCACTGTGGTCGAGGGTTAAGGGGTGATGATGTGACACCTTGTTGAGCCCAATGAGGCAAATTATCATTTGTGGAAATGGGCTTTAAAAAGAAAACTAAATATATAAAGAAATATACAAACAAAACAGACGCCAGTTTACCAGGATATGCTCCGAAATGTAGTTATTCTAGGGGTCGACAATAAAACAATAACAATAAATGTTGCAATAGAATTTTCATCGATTGTTGTATAGCAAAGGTTCACTATAGTGATATATTCGCTATGTATTTGAAAATGTTTTGCTGTTTGTCAAGTGCTTGTCATTTAAAATTAAAGCCTAAACTAAAGAGCAACAAGCAAGACTTTAATTTGATATTAATCGTGATAACTATCGATATATCAATTGATGTGAAAATTTGTATCATTCACTTTTCTTTCTTATAGGTGAGGACCCACCCCCCCACAAAATTTCAAGAAAATTGGTTTAGTAGTTTTTGCGTAATCCTGTAAACAAACGACATAGAAAACCAGGAAACCAGTTGTTTATTGGAAGACAATCTTAGGAGCAAAAATCCAACTGATAACATTGAATTAATTGAATACATGACATCATATACGTCTCAACACATTTAATGACAGTGACCTCAGAGGCCTCCAGCTTTTTCCACCATCGGTCACTTTCCCATTTCCTCATTCGACCTCCACCTCGTCTTCTGCAGCTCAATGTCCCAAAATAAGTGCTTCTTTAGTTTTGGCCGTCTGCAGCAGTTATGGCACTCAGCTAGAAAAGGAATTAATCAACTTCAACCTCGTCCTCGTGTGCATACAGTACTTACAATCATGCTACAAGATGTACTGCATTTGGTGCTACAGAACGCTTGAAGTAAAAATGACAAGAAAAGACACAAACATCTACGACATAGAAAACCATAATTTAGCCCAGTAGCCCATGACAAGGTGATTTTAGAGGTGATTTACACTAACTTAAAAAAGTAGGGCCTGATACTTTAACATCTGTTTTGGTCAAATTAAATATTTACAAGGTCTAGACTTTTGTAAGAAGAAAATATAAATCAGTTTTTGGGGGCATTAATGCATAATTCACTTGGATTTATGCCTAATAAGATGGCATTCTTTGTCTTCAGATAAAATGTTGAACCACTGATGAACCCTAATAATCTACCAATGTTTTATGATCAGTGCAAGTTTAATTCCATGTGTCCTATTCTTTATAGACAATTTCATAACACAGAATGAATGAATATGACGTTGGACACTGTTTAAGGATTTATGGCAACGTCACATTGAAAGTTTGTCAAATTCAGATGGAAAGAAACAGTTCTCATGCAAAACTTGCATCATGTTGGATATCCAGTTTGTAAAAAAGAAAAAACATTTTCCACAAAACTCATGTCACTGTCTGAGATGTTCGCAGCTCATCTCTTTTAACGGGTCGCCGTCTTTTCCTGAAGACGAGGACCTTCAGCCTCGTCGGCTGTGGCTCGGCCGAGCTGAGGTCAGACGGCGGCTCTTGAGCCTCATCTCGTTGGTCCCGGTGAAGTTTGCCGCTTTGACTACTGCATCATGGCGTTCTTAATGGTCCACCTCTGCCCGGAGCAGGGCTGCAGCGCCAGCAGGTGGCCAAAGTAAACGTTGGCCGGCACCACCTCCAGACAGCGTCCTGTCGCTCGATTTATGATGGACTCGTTCTGGAGGGCAGGAGGAGAGAGAGGGTTCTGGTTTGAACAGGTTTTACAGGCAGGCCAGATGAGGACAGATATTGGACATTAACTTTCCAGGTAAGAAACATCATTAAACCCAAACTTTCTTTTAATGAGCTGAAGATTGTCTCTCATTACTTCACATCTTCACAGATGCAGTGCTCAATATTATGAACCTGTACTTGTGTCTCTGCTTTGGCTCATGGTCAAGCATACCTTTGAGTATTTGGTTTATTTATCAATAGCCTGAACTCACTAAGCTTGTGTGTCTTCCACAACAAATAACAGCTAAAAGCTTTGACTCTGGAGTTTTCTGGGTTTCTCAAGTGAAACTGATGGAAAAATGTGTCGACAGTAAACAAACTGAAAATAAAAGCCAAGACTTGAAAACATCAATTCTCATTTAAGGTTAATTAGTCAATTACTTTAATAATTACTGTTTAAAAATGCCACATAACGGTCTGTTAAACACCAGTATTTTCTGAATCCACTAACATATTCTCACAAGGTAAAGGTCTGATCTTCTTTAAGGCCACTAACACCATTCTCATGTCTTCTTTTCTCTAAAGTTCACACCAGGTTTCTATTATTTATCTCAGTGATGTTCTTGTTCTTGTCACCTGAGAGAAATGCCACGTCTTCTGCTTCATGTTCGGGACCTTGTCGCAGTTGAGGAGCTGAGGAAAGCTGCTGATCTGATCGTCCACCACACAGCGAGTGTCCTCGCCGGTGCTGCCCAGAGGACCGAGGAACAGCTGCCCCTCTTTGGTGAAACGTCCCAACTGAGAAGACAGACAGACGCATAGTGAGAGGACATGGTGCATCGTGCAGCACTCTGATGTTTGAACCTTCCCAAACAGGTATTTTTATTAGAAATCTTATAACATTCATTCAGCTTGTGAAGGAACTTTACTCTGCAGCCTGGTGTTTAGCTCGCTGTGATCGATGGGGACATGTTTTAAATGGTGATGTGTGTCTCACGTGTCTCTACAGTGAGGACCATGTGGTGTTCTGTAGCTGTAACAGTTTCTTACAAAAGGTAAATCCCCAGAAAAGCATTTTTTGTGCTGAGTGATATTTTGAAGCTCTTACCACCAGAATATATATATAGCTCAGTTGGCTTTTAGCATTTTACTAGCGGAGCCAAGAGCTGCCTCCCTGAAGCACCTGTTTACCACTGCGAGCTAAAAAGAGAGATGCCCCGGGGACAGAGCGGCCGAGCGACTGATGCCGGCTGACTCAGGACTTCAGCTCAAAAAGTGCAACATGTTTCAATTTTCATCCTGACACAAGCTTCTCCTAAGAGGTTTTCAGCCTCTGAGCCTGTGGGAGTAGCTCGGCTGTAAATCATGTCACTGCTGAAACACAATGAGCTCAGGCTGTGGTGAGAGAGGCACTCCGTGAGGCGTGTGGTGTCCATGTTTGTACCTGAGGACCCCAGCCATGACACGGGTGCAGGGTGGCCGTGTGGTTCTCCTTCATGCCCTGGTCCATGCACAGATGGCTCGCCCGAGAGTTACGAATCTGAAATCAGCAAGAGAATCGATCGGCGGTCATTAAAGAATAACTTCACTTGGCAGGATTCAATTTGCATTTCAGAAATCTGACCAACCTCACACCATTTAGGTATTTTCACAAAGAAAAGATAAGATGAATGCAGGCCTGATAATAATAGAACATTGATAATTTCGCTGTAAATGTATTTATTTTGCGGACGTCTGTGTTATGTAGCTATGAATAACAATGCAGTGTTGTTTTGTTACCTCAGAGGAGCTTGTGTTTTCTTTGGTATTTTATATTTAACAGAATTACACACAAACTACTTAAAGTATTACCATGAAACTTGGTGCAAATCGGAAGAGAAGTCATTACATTTTGGTACAGATCTGGATCAGAGGGCGAACATTACAGGATTTCAGTTTTATTTATATGGCAATAAATCCTAATGTACATTATCTCAAGGCACTTTACATATTGAGGTCGAGACCTTGACAATTGCATTTCCCACAATGAGCAGCACTTTGGCGACTGTGGAGAGAAAAGAACTCCCTCGTTAACTGGAAGAAACCTCTCGAACCAGACTCAGTGTGGCCGGACATCTTAACAGTTTCCTGGATTTCCCTGAGAATGACTCTTGGATTTTTAAGAGAAGAATCAGGCACATGTAGGAAAGTCAAAGTGTTTAACTGGACTGTTGGGCCTTGGCAGAGGTTTGGACTCTGCATGGTATCATTCTCGTTTTATTTGTAGATGTTAGATCAATTAAACATGTTTAAATATTTATGAATACAAACTGTAACTGAAGATGGCTTCAATTGTATATGTTTTGTTTGTGTATTTCCAATGCTAAAGGATTGGGCTGAAACTTAGACGCCATGCAGTGACCTTGACCTTTCACATATGTTGAAAACAGTGAACGTCCTGACCCTGACTTTGAACTCAAGTTTAAACCACATTGGATCTAAAAACAGCTCAAATTACCGATGCTCCCATGTAGTGCAGGTGTAATAAAGATCTGTATTTATATGTAGTTCAGACATTTTACAGCACAGACGATGTGGAGTGTTTTCCTGCTGCCGTGTTTTAGGGTTGAGACATTTTCTCAGAAACCTCTCAGGGTTTATTTGTCTCATCCATCTCTCTCTCTCTCTCTCTCTCTCTCTCTCT